AAAGGCAGCGGGACCGTCAGTAACAGGAGTTTAAAGGCAGCGGGACCGTCAGTAACAGGAGTTTAAAGGCAGCGGGACCGTCAGTAACAGGAGTTTAAAGGCAACGGGACCGTCAGTAACAGGAGTTTAAAGGCAACGGGACCGTCAGTAACAGGAGTTTAAAGGCAGCGGGACTGTCAGTAACAGGAGTTTAAAGGGACCGTCAGTAACAAGAGTTTAAAGGCAGAGGGACCGTCAGTAACAGGAGTTTAAAGGCAGCGGGACTGTCAGTAACAGGAGTTTAAAGGCAGAGGGACTGTCAGTAACAGGAGTTTAAAGGCAGAGGGACCGTCAGTAACAGGAGTTTAAAGGCAGCGGGACTGTCAGTAACAGGAGTTTAAAGGCAGTGGGACTGTCAGTAACAGGAGTTTAAAGGCAGTGGGACTGTCAGTAACAGGAGTTTAAAGGGACTGTCAGTAACAGGAGTTTAAAGGCAGCGGGACCGTCAGTAACAGGAGTTTAAAGGCAGTGGGACTGTCAGTAACAGGAGTTTAAAGGGACTGTCAGTAACAGGAGTTTAAAGGCAGTGGGACCGTCAGTAACAGGAGTTTAAAGGCAGAGGGACTGTCTGTAACAGGAGTTTAAAGGGACTGTCAGTAACAGGAGTTTAAAGGCAGTGGGACCGTCAGTAACAGGAGTTTAAAGGCAGCGGGCGACAAAAATCCCTTCAAGGAATCTTTTTATGAACTTTGTTCAGTTTGTCTCAACAAGACAACAATAAAACATAAACAAGTCAAATATAATGAATAAATATAATAAATAAATGTTCTGTTAGCACCCAGTTTCAACATCAACCTTTAAAACCCAACAGAACCAAACTGAACCCGGATCAGTTTGCTGGGTTTGTTCACAGAAAACAAATAAAATCAACAGAAAGTCAACAAGATGGATGGTCTGCGACCCTGAACACATTCAAATACTTTCAACCTTTATCTAAAAACAAACCTGGAGTCTGGCTTCTGTTCTGTTTCCGGACGTTTAAAAAGCTAAAGAAACAAAAAGCTTCGACCTGTTTTCATTTTTACAAACTAAAACTCCTTCAGCAGAACTCAAAGATTAAATAAATCATAAATATTTTTAATCCATTTCTTCTAAAGACCAACAGGAAGCCTGAAGTTGAAGCCACAGAGGATGAGGGCGCCCCCCAGTGGCTGACTCCAGTACAGATTTAAGCCCTCCACAGATGGCTTTACAAAACAAATAAATACAAATATTCTTCAGAGAACGTCTTTCCTTCTTACACTTCTGTTTGTTCAGATCTTCTTTTAAAAATCATCTTAGACTGAATTCAATCAATCTAAAGAGAAGCAGAATGTTTTACTGAATGAGAGCCTGTTAGAGTTAAGAAGGGACGTGATGATGTAACCTCAGGATGATAGAACTGATCCTGGACAAGAGTCCGGATCTCCTGACAGACCAGATGGACCTCTGGTCAGWTTAAAGCAGCCGGTCGAGGCAGATGGTCTCCTGTCCTGAGCCTGGTTCTGCTGGAGGTTTCTTCCTGATTAGCAGGGAGTTTT